TGTATATATACCACATTTTCTTGATCCATTCATCTACTGAGGGGCATCTGGGTTGGTTCCATATCTTAGCTATGGTAAATAATGCTGCAATAAACATAGTCGTGTTGGTAGCTTTAGTGTGGTCTGGAATGTTTTGTGTTTCCATATAAATGGCACACACACCTTTTATACACATGTGGGTACTCTTGCTTCATTCTGATTCTGAAAGAATCAGAATTACTTTAAAATGATAAACATGTTGATTTTGATAACATCTTATCATTTTCTTATTATAACCATATAATTTTGTCTCCTTTATTAATGAAATAAATTATGCTAATTTTTGAAATTTTAAATAAGTCTATTAACTCAGTTATGTATCCATTCTTTTTATTTGTCAGTTGTGGGGCCTGAACTCTGGGCCTGGGCGCTGTCCCTCAGCTCTTCATAAGGCCAATGCTCTACCACTTGAGCCACAGCACCACTTCTGGTTTTCTGGGGGTTCATTGGAGATGAGAGTCTTGCGGTCTTTCCTGCCTGGGCTGGCTTTGAACCGCGATCCCCAGCTTTCAGACTCCTGAGCAGCTAGGATTACTGGCATGAACCACCAGCTCTTGGCTTCCTGTAAGTTCTGATATGTTTATTATTGTCAGTTTGTTATTTTCTATAGTTTGTATGTTTACAAACATGTAACTATTTATCAACTGCTGTGTTTGGAGTTGAGCCGAGGATCCTTTTAAAATGTGGAGGTCATTCTTCACTTTCAGCGCTGGGTTTGGCTCCCAGGGCCTTTGCCACCCCAAGGCTGCTGCCTCCACTTAGCGCAGTGCAGTGCTGTTCATGTGGTTGCGTGTCTTGGTACTTCGTTCCTTTTCACTGAGGACTAATTATCTCATGGTACAGATATTATATGCTGCGTTTGAATTTGCTTGTTTTATTTAATAGCCAATATGTTTTCACATCTTTTCATGCTGGTGTATATAAATCTACCCGCCATCTTGCATCGTAATTGCCCAGGACCGAGTTGTGCTACCAGTTCTCTGTAAGGCTAAGGGACTCCACCATGTCTCTGTCACACAGGTGCTCTAGCATACTGCTCACTACATGGAAGCTGCTAAATGCAGATAGTGATGCTACAAATGTACCCTCAGGCCCAACTACCACATAGCTACTCTGATAGCAGGAGGGAAAAGCAGTCTGGCCATGTGCTCAGGAAGACAGGATCCTATGAAAAACCACAGGCCATCTCTGATGCTGGACTTTCATATTTCCTATGAAGTTATTGTTCTAGTACTGAAATGCATGGCTATATATTTTCACAAATGGGTAGGTAGAAAATGACTAGATGATAGATAATAGAAAGATTGCTAGATAGATGACAGATAGATGATGGTAGTGGGCAGCTAGATGACAGATAGATAAGAAGGTAGACAGATGATAGATAAGCACATATATGCCTTCCCTGGAAGGGAAAACTACTTTATCAACTAGAATCTTTGTTCTGGTTTTACAGAGCTCATCATGTCTGCCAGCCCCTTCCTTTGTACAGTGGATTTTTTGGACGCATGCTGCTTTCCATTCTGGGGTTCCACCGGTGAACTGGGTGGTAGTTCTGAATGCTAACATTCACCCTGAATCTGATGATTCTGGCACAATGTCAAGTGGCCACCTACTGCCTCACTCCTTCCAGGGCTCTTGGGCTGCTTCTAGGCCTTGGGCAGGAAATAGATGAATCTGAGCATTTTCAGAGGGTGTTCAAAATAAAATTTTCAGAGCATAGGTAGCGATGTATGTCCTCCTAACTACTCAGGAGGCTGAGATCTGAGGATTAATGTTCAAAGCTGGCATGGAAGAAAAGTTTTTGAGACTCTTATCTGCAATTAACCACCAAAAAAGACAGAAGTGGAGCTGTGGCTCAAGTGGTAGAGCACCAGCCATGAGCAAATAAGTACCCAGGCCCTGAGTTCAAGCCGCATTACTGGCATACCAAAAAAAACCCCCTGAAAACCCAAAGATAAAAAACTTGAATACTCCCTTATGAGGATATTCCAAAGGGTGGAGATCTGAAAGAGAGAACTCCCAGTGCCCAAGCTAGAGAAATCGGAAGAGCTACATAAAGAAGTATTGATTACAACCCAAAGTGTACAATTAATGAGTTCACACTGAATAACTAGCAACAATGAGGGAAATAAATGACAATTTATGAGGGAAGAGAGACAAATATCCCACATAAAAGAACTCCAAATAATGGAGCTATTCCTCATGCACAGAGGTATAGTCCACCCTCACGTTCCTCAGGTGTGGGCTGCGTGCCAAGATCTTACCTTCCAAAATATATGACATGGGAAGGAGAGCACTGACACACACTTAGCCAGGTGTTCAGGGTTGGCATTGGCAGAGCTCACTCACAAATCACGCAGACAGGGAGCTCTAGGCAGAGGTGACCAGAGCACATCTGACCACAGCCCAGACCAACAATGACTACCACAGTAGACAGTTTCCACAGAGCAAGGGCTCAACACAGCTGACCAGAGCTGCTCACAACCCCTGCACTTCCAGGACTGGACACAGGGGGGTGCCCTGCACCCACGGTGTCCACTCAGGCTGCTGGGGTCCTGTGCGCTGAGGTGAGCTTGCAGTTTTGTAAGGAGGTGTGCAGCCTGCTGGGCCTCCCCCTGCTCCCAGCCTGAGGGTACGGCTTCACAGGTGTGTGTAGGCTGCATGTGCTTGGCTGGAGGAGGACTCGGCAGCAGGGCCACGCTGCTCTCCAGGTGCTGGGACAAGTTAGGAAGGGCTGGCTGGTCTGAGTCGTCTCTGGTTCTTAGTTACTGCTGACCGCTACTATTTGAGCCTTACTCCTAGTGCATCATTTCTATTAGTAAAAGCTGACCTGAGGGCAGAGGTTCCAGGCCTAGGCGGAGGGAGGGAGAGGCTTTGATGCCTGCTTTGGGCAAGCAAGCTGACCAGGGAAGGCTCTGTCGCAGAGGCCCATGAGATTTATGAATGGGGTCGTGCCGAGGGCCATGTTATGCCTACAAAGTTGTGGAAGGTCAAAGAAGCCACAAGGCCTAGAGGTAGTATGGGAGCTGAAGGCCAGAGACCATGTGATCATTTGGGCGTGAGGGAGACTGAAGGTCTCTCCTGGCAGTGGACCCTCCTCGTGTGGCCCTCCTGGTCTAGGCCTTGCAGGGCTTTACCCACCAAGGCTGACCTGGGCGTGTGTCTGAGGCTGGGGGGACAGTAGGCCATTTCTACTCCCCAGGGCTCGGACAGAGATGGAGGCCTCTTGACGGGTAGGTCTCAGGGGTGGGCAGGCAGCAGGCCTTATCTCTCTCCACTGCTCAGGGAGTGTTTCTCTGAATGAATGGCTCAGGTGCACAGTCTTATCCTAAACTCGACCCCAAGGCTATAATTAAAGGTTCAGGTGGAAGGGATTATGACGGAGGTGGGGCTGAGAACTAGCCCCCCACCGTGGGAGGCAAGTCTGAGCTACCAGAGATAACATTGAGATAGCCTTCCTCCTTCCTCAAAGACTTTGGGGTGGAGAAGCAGGGGGCCTGGGAAGAAGTTCTGCTCTTAGGAAAAGTGGTTTCCAGGAAGAAGATAAGTGAGGTCAAGTTCATAGTGGGATCTAGTCTCATCATCAATTCATCATTTATAAACAAACTGATCAAGGCACAATTGTCCTCAGTATGAGTGGCGCTGTGGTCCTGGACCACATCAACACGGCATGTAAACAACCGGAGAGCACATTGTGGCTGTGGCTTTTGTCACTGCCATGTCAGTACCTTGGGTCATTCTGATTTGTTATTGTTTTTGTTTTGTCAGTGGTGGGGCTTGAACTCAGGGACTGAGCACTGTCTCTGAGCTCTTCAGCTCAAGGCTAGTGCTCTACCACTATATACACCACTATATACCAGGTGTATACCTGCCCTGCCCTTAGATATACCTGGCTGTTGCCTATCCATCCCACCTAACCATCCATCCATCCATCCATCCAGTCTCACCCAGCCTCCTCTAGGTCCCCCAGATTTAGTGAACACACCCTCATGGGTTTCACTCCAGCAAGGGTAGCACACGGTGTACAGACATGGGTCTGAACAAGGCTCAATTACCTGAATAAACATAGGAGAACAGGAGGGGAAGGCTACCTAGAAGGTGCGTGGAAGGGAAGGGACCCTGAGGCACGGGTCTGGTGACCAGTTCTCTTGGGCATGGGGCTCTGGTGACCAGATCTCTTGGATTTGGGGCTCTGGTGACCAGTTCTCTTGGGCTTGGGGCTCTGGAGACCAGGTCTCTTGGGCTTGGGGCTCTGGTGACCAGGTCTCTTGGGCTCTGGTGACCAGGTCTCTTGGGCTGGGCTCTGGAGACCAGGTCTCTTGGGCTCGGGGCTCTGGTGACCAGTTCTCTTGGGCTCTGGAGACCAGGTCTCTTGGATTTGGGGCTCTGGAGACCAGGTCTCTTGGGCTCTGGTGACTAGGTCTCTTGGGCTCTGGAGACCAGGTCTCTTGGACTCTGGAGACCAGGTCTCTTGGGGGTGACCAGGTCTCTTGGGCTCTGGTGACCAGGTCTCTTGGGCTTGGGGCTCTGGTGACTAGGTCTCTTGGGCTCGGGGCTCTGGAGACCAGGTCTCTTGGACTCTGGAGACCAGGTCTCTTGGACTCTGGAGACCAGGTCTCTTGGGGCTCTGGTGACCAGGTCTCTTGGGCTTGGGGCTCTGGAGACCAGGTCTCTTGGGGCTCTGGTGACCAGTTCTTTTGGGCTCTGGTGACCAGGTCTCTTGGGCTTGGGACTCTGGAGACCAGGTCTCTTGGACTCTGGAGACCAGGTCTCTTGGACTCTGGAGACCAGGTCTCTTGGACTCTGGAGACCAGGTCTCTTGGA